CACTCATGTCTCTCAATGGCTTTTGCTTTTTTTTTTTTTTTTTTTTAATATTAAGTACATTTGTCTCACCCTGGAAAAATGTCTATCACAGTTCACATACTTTTGATAGTATTAGCGGGTGGTCCAGGGCAGGCCTTAAACTCACCATGCTCCGGAAAATTAGGAAAGGGTTTTTGCGTGTTGTTTTTAAGTTTCCCACATACTTATCCTCACACCACTAGCATAGATTATTACATCTCTCCAGTTTTGCATGTTGGACACCTTGAGACACAAGGAAGTCTGGTAACATGCTTCAAATCAGAGTGTAAGGAAGGGCAGTGAACACTCTGTTAAGCAGTTCTGAGTAATATATATATAAAAGCTTGTTTAATCCACACCACAATCCTGAAAGGTAGGTGTTATCATTTCTATATTTATGGAATGTGACACTGAGATTCATAGTGCTTAAGTAACTTGCACAAAGTCACAGATCTAGTGAGAAGCAGAGCTAGGAATAGAATATGGCTTCAAAGTCCATGTTCTTTTAAAAAAAATTTTATTGATTTCAGAGAGGAAGGGAGAGAGAGAGAGAGAGAGAGCGATAGAAACATCAATGATGAGAGAGAATCATTGATTGGCTGCCTTCCCCAAGCCCCGTATTGGAGATCAAGCCCGAAACCTAGCATGTGCTTTGACAGGAAGTCCAGCCATGACCTGCTAGTTCATAGGTTGACGTTTAACCACTGAGCCACACTGCTGGGCCAAAGTCCATATTCTTCAGGACTTGCCTCTTCCTGGGAGTTAGGTGGAGTATGCTATGAATAACACCTGAACCCTGGGCCAGCTTAAATTTATTATGTTAGAAATTACCCCCAAATGCTTTCATATTATGACAATTACTTTTTTTGTTGTTAATCTTTACCCGAGGATATTTTTCTACTGATTTTTAGAGAGAATGGAAGGGAGGGTGAGAGACATACAGAGGAAACATCAATGTGAGAGAGACACATCAATTGGTTGCCTCCCACAAGCATCCCAACCAGGGCTAGGGATCGAGCCTGCAACTGAGGTATGTGCCCTTGACCTGAATTGAACCTGGGACACTTCAGTCTGCAGGCCAATGCTCTAGCCACTGAGCCAAACTGGCTAGGGCGACAATTAATTTTTTGTACTTCGTAAACACACAAAATGGTGTGTGGGTGACATATTACAGCACCCATATCAGCATCCTCTAAGTTACCTAGTGATCATGACATACAAATTTCACAGTAATAGAGGGAGCCATGGGAGAACTTTATTTGATAAATCTATTACATATATTGGGCTTTTAAATAGATAGCATTATGAATTAAGGTATGATTTACATGGGGATGAAGTCTGAGGTAGAGAGCAAGGGCAAATAGGCAGTTTCACAGCAGATCAATAAGGTGTCTGGTCAGGTCCATTCATATGTCCTGGATACTCAAAAAAATTACACAGCAATGAACGATCAAGCAATACAAAACAAAAAGGCAACAACCAATTCTTGTGTTGGAGGAAGAGGGATTCTTTCCTTTTTCTAAAGTGCCCTCCCCCAGTTCTGACAAATTTTTAAAAAAATTCTCACTTGAGGACAAGCTGAGAGAGAGACACAGAGAGAGAGAGATAGAGAAAGAAAGAAACATTGATGTGAGAGAAATATCGATCAGTTGCCTCTCATATGTTCCCCAACCAGGGACCAAACCCACAATCCAGGTATGTGCCCTGACCAGGCATCAAACCAGCAATTCTTTGGTACACAGGTACACAGGATGATGCTCAACCAACTGAGCCACTCCAGCTGTGCACCCTCCCCCAGTTCTAGCTCTTCCAGCTTTTTTCCTCAGTTATTCCCGCTATCCCTCCCCCTGCTGCTCTCATTTAATATTGCTACTGTCATTCAGTCAGTCCCATAGTATCTTTAACCATTATCCTATATAATAAAAGGGTAATATGCAAATTGAACCAAAAAGCAGAATGACTAGGAAAAACTGGTCTCTATGATGTGCACTGACCACCAGGTGGCAGACACTGCAGTAGCTGCCCCCTGGTGGTCAGTGTGCTCCCACAGGGGGATCTCTGTTGCCTCCTCCACAGTGCTAAGGATGTCCCACTGCAGCTTGGACTTGTTTCCCCGCAAGGAGCAGGCCTAAGCTGTCAGTCAGACATCCCCTGAGGGTTCCTGGCCTGCCAGAGGGATGTCTGACTGCCAGCTTAGGCCCAATTCCCCAGGGAACGGGCCTAAGTTAGCAGGTCGTCATCTCCCAAGGTCTCTTTGGCTGAGGGGTCTCCCCAAACCCCCTGAGTGCATGAATTTTTTTTAAAAAATATATTTTATTTATTTATTTTTTTACAGAGAGGAAGGGAGAGAGATAGAGAGCTAGAAACGTTGATGAGAGAGAAACATCGACCAGCTGCCTCTTGCACACCCCCTACCAGGGATGTGCCCGCAACCAACGTACATGCCCTTTACCGGAATTGAACCTGGGACCTTTTGGTCCGCAGACCGTCACTCTACCGCTGAGCCAAACCGGTTTCGGCCCCTTATTTAACTCTTACAACCACTATATGAGATAGTTACTATTGTTATCTTCATTTTATAGATGAAAAAAGGAAGATCAGAGGGAATGAGTAACTTGTCAAAGGCCACTTAGTAAGTGGATGAGCCAGATGACTGTCCATCTCTGCTTGACTTTAGGATCTGCACACCTAGGATCTCAAACCTCATATGTCCCTATTGCCTGCCACTTTCAATTGTCATATTTCCCTTCTTTCTTTGGCCTCAGACTTACTGTATATGCCAGTGCCTTCCTGAAAGACATTGGCCTCTAAGCTCCACATTCTTGTGATTCTGAGTCACCAGCATCTCTTCTTGCTCTCCAACTATTGCCTTTCTCCCAGGTTTAATCATTGGCCTTTTGCTAGTCCCTTGAAAGCACTTTAAAAAAAGTTTATTTCAGAGAGGAAGGGAGAGGGAGAGAGGGATAGAAACATCAGTAAGAATTATTGGTTGCTGCCTCCTGCATGTCCCCTACTAGGGATCGAGCCCACTACCTGGGCGTGTGCCCTGACTGGAAATCAAATGATGACCTCCTGGTTTATCATTTGATGCTCAACCACTGATCCACACTGGCTGGGCTTGAAAGCTCTTTTTACTAGAGGCCTGCTGCAGAAAATTCATGCATGGATAAGGTCCATCGGCAATCAGGGCCGATCGGAGCCTTCCTTCTCCCACCTGCCAGCTGCTGGCTGGCGCCTTCATTCTGCGCCGCCCCCTGGTGGTCAGCACACATCATAGGGAGTGGTCAGTTGAATTCCTGAGGAGATAATTTGCATATTAGCCTTTTATTATATAGGATTATTTTTTTAATCCTCACCCAAGGATATTTTTCCGTTGATTTTTAAAGGGAATGTCAGAGAGAAGGAAAGACAGAGAAAAATATCAACGTGAGAGAAACACATCTATTGGTTGCCTCCTACATGCACCTAGTCACTTACTAAGTGGCCTTTGACCAGGACCCAGGCAGGAAGGAGCCTGCAACAGAGGCACGTGCCCTTGAATCCAACCTGGGACCCTACAGTCCACAGGCCAATGCTCTATCCATTGAGTCATATCAGCTAGGGTTAAAAGCTTTTTTTTTTTTTAAAGTTACAGCTTGTATTCTTTATAGCACTTGACAAAATCTCTAGCCCTGACTTCTCTCCTGACATGTAGTACTGCTTCTCTGCTTGTTAGACATTTCCATTTTGTGGCTTCCCTACCATTTTAAACACATTCTTCAAACATGAATTTGCTTTTTATTAACCTCCCTATTTTATCTTTATTTCTCTATATAAAGCCTCCATCAACTCACTATTTTTTTCATAATAAAGTCTGTATTTTATTTAATCAATTAAAGTTCTTCTAGAGCCAAAGTCTCACTTTGATGACACTTTTTAGTCTTTTTTTTTTTTAAATATATTTTATTGATTTTCTTAGAGGAAGGGAGAGAGATAGAGATCTCGAAACATCGATGACAGAGAAACATTGACCAGCTGCCTCTTGCACACCCCTCACCGGGGATGTGCCCGCAACCAAGGTACATGCCCTTGGCCGGAATCGAACCTGGGACCCTTCAGTTCGCAGACCATCGCTCTACTGCTGAGCCAAACCGGTTTCGGCAACTTTTTAGTCTTATTTCCTAAAGTGAACTATAATTTTAGCCAGATCAGTTAAGTCACTGTCCTCCAGGTACCTGCTTCACCTTCCTGTTGTCCCTTAAGACCTGTGCAAGGCCTATTTGCTTCTGGGAAGCCTTTCCTTAGCAATTATTAGAAACCAAGAATATGGTGTTAATTATTATATTTTCCTGGGTTTGAACTGATCTCCTCAATTAGATTATAACCTTTATAACCCCTTCAGTATCTAGTGTGACATCCTGCCTTGCATATAGTAAATACTTTGTAAATATTAGTTAACTAGAGGCCCGGGGGTCAATAGGGCCAGGCTGGCCGGGGCTGGGTGGGTGGGGGGAGGATCTGATCAGGTGGGGGTGTGATGGAGGGGGGAATCATGGGAGGGGCTGCAGGCAGTTGGCAGGCTGGCCCTGCCCCCTGTTCGAACTCTGGTTGAACTCCTGATAAAGGGGACAGTTTTCATATTACCCTTTTATTATATAGGATTGTTGGTTGTTGGGTAGGAGTGTAGAACATGGAGAGAGACTGGTCATAGAAGTGTATCCAAAGAGTTCAACTTTTTTCTGGAGAACAAAGACTATATTTTCTGCATCTTATTATTTTGGGAGCTTAAGCCAGTGCCTAATCATCAGTAATTCAGGTCTGCTCAGCAGATCTGCTTTTACAAAATGTTGATTCTGTATTGATGCTGAATTTCTGTAAGGATTTGTAAATAAATGAAGGGGTTTGGAAGTTGTGCCTTTATTTCCCAGCTTCTGTTTATTCAACATTTATGCAAGTGAATCTCAATGTTTCTGTTGTTGGCAGGTATTAAGAGAAGAGTCCCAATGCACAAACCTAGATGCTTCCTCTCCAGGGTGGGTTTCTTCTCCAAATCAGGACTGCTCTATTGGTGTCCCGGGAAACCTCCGTATTGGTCACAGCTTTTATGGGGCTCAGCATGCAAGGGAACCTTCACCAAGAGTTGTCAAAGGGGACAGAAAAGTCAGAAGAAACCAAGCCATATTGGGACAATAGATAGTTCCTGGGAAGAAAGGTAAGACTAAGGCTGATGTTCCTTACTCTTAGCAAGTCTGAATCTCTGAGCTTACTGAAATTCTGTGTTCCTGATGTAACTAATGTGGGATGGCAAGGATTCGAAGGGGTGCCTCAGGTAGGATAACCAAGGTGAACTTGAAAACATCTGAGGAATATTGTGGGAAATACTTTGGGATTGCAGAAAATATTCTCCTTGTCTTTGAGTGTGGTTTTCACAGAAAGGAGATATTAAACACTGACCTTGTCTCTAAAAGGTCCAGGGCAGGTGTACTGAAAACCAGAGACCCAGAAAGCTATTAGATGGACTAGAAATGAATAGTTCCATTGCAGTCATGCATTCACATAGCTATTTTATTTTATGCAACAAATGGATTTTCTAAATCAAATTATATTTTAAAAAGCATTAAGGAGATGGGCTAATTAAAGGAACGTAACAGTGAAGACTTTTTTAATATGAATAATTAACTCCTGATAAATCTTGATTTTTCTCATATTAGGTTTGCATATTTGTTTTGCTTTTAGTAGACAGCACCAAAATGGGCTCTTCTGCCAGACTCATCTCCCCAGGGGCATGAGAGTTAAGTCTTTTGAATAATGTGAAAAATGCCAGAGAAAATGGTGGCAGGAAGTACTTATGCATAATGTAGGTACTTAGTATATCTATATATATAAAAGGCTAATATGTTAAGTGTCTGATTGTCCAACTGGTTGCAATGAAGGGCACTGACCATCAGGGGGCAGACGCTCAATGCAGGAGCTGCTGAGCTGCAGTGACTTGGCAGTGGCGGTTCTTGGGTGACATACCCTGAAACCAGAGAAGGAGAGATATATCCTCACTGGACTGCACAATTTCACCTTTGACCATGGTTTATGTTGTTGCTGGGGCATTGTTGTCCTGAATCTGGTTTATTGCAAACTTGTGTTTGCATTCCACACCTTGTATGATAACAACTTTGTAGAGTCCCTTCTCACACTCCAGGACCCCTTGGGGGATGTTGGAGAGCCGGTTTCAGCCCAAACACCGTAGGCCAGGCCGAGGGACCCCACCTGCCAGAGGGACCCTACTCTCTCTGCAGATGCCCTTCAAGCCATGGTGCCATCCTAAGTGTGGCTAGTCAGGGAGGGAATGTGGGAAGTTGGCTCCAGGGCATGTTCAGCCTGGCTTGCCCAGTCCCGCCCCACTGGCCACCTTCTAATTAATTTCCTTTCAATATGCATGAATCCATGCACCAGGTCACTAATATTTATATACTGAGCTAAGTACCTGAACTATTTTATTCAAGGCTGGCTGATGTTGTGACACCACTCTGGAGGCTGAGCTATGAAGAACAGCTCAAGGTTGGTACCCAGCTTAAGTCTTCACTCCTCTGTTCCATCAGGTGAATGGTGTTAGACTTATAAGAAGTTTGACCAGACAGGCCTAGCCAGTCAACCCAAGGAGTCCTTAAACTCAGTATGCTAACAACTCTGAAATTTTAACTTTAGGCAAGTTATGTCTTCTAAACTCTAAAGCCATATATAAATGTCTGTTTCCATCATTGCTTGCTTTTTTGTTGTTCTTACAGGTTTAGCTACATGTGGCCGTGGCTATTTAAATTTAAGCACATTCAGTTTTGCTATAATGCTTGTTTTTAAAATGGAAATTTCTGATGCTTGGAGCAGCCAGGTCGGGAGCGGCCAGGCCTGGAGCGGCTGGGCCCGGAGCAGCCAGGTCGGGTGTGTCCAGGCCCGGAGCAGCAGCAGCCAGGCTGGGAGCGGCCAGGCCCGGAGTGGCCGGGCCCGTAACAGCCAGGCCCAGAGCAGCTGGGTCGGGTGTAGCCAGGCCCGGAGTAGCAGCAGCCACGCCCGGAGCAGCCAGGTCAGGAGCGGCAGTGGTCAGACCCAGAGCAGCTGGTTGTGGAACGGACCACAGCAACAGAGGCCAGGCCCGGAGCAGCCAGGCCCGGAACAGCTCTCTCCTCGCCTGCCTCCGCCCCAAGGCTGCCTCTCAGACATGGCTGGAAACTTTTGGGAGAACTTGAGGGTCTGCTGAATCAAATGAGGAAGGCTTAGATCTGGATGTGTTAAATCAGTACAGCGCTGGAGTGTTGATCTATGAGTGCCTTGTGTGGGGCCTGGATGAGGTTGGTTGATCTATTTGGAAATGTCAAAAAAAATAAATAAGTAAAAATAAAATAAAATAAAATGGAAATTTCTTCCAATGGATTGATATATTAGGAAACAATTTGAACATAATACAAATTTCATGTTTGCTTAGGAGTGATTTGGTCTAGGAGAAACAGATGAAAGAAACTGTACCCAGGTGAGCTGAGTTGCATGAAAATCCATAAAATGAACACATACACACCTCAGACATCTGCTGCTCTCTCAGTTCCATGAGTGTATTATGAGCCACACCCATTTACATCTGCTGTGAGAAATTTCCATCCCATTCACATGACCCTCCTTTCACCACCTCATGATAACTCACAAGTGGACAGCTACATTTACAAGCAAACTTCAGGTCTTTGTCAGGGCAAAGTGCCGTCCTTATTGTAGTATTTTTGCATTTTATAACCATTTCACATGTAAAGATATACTAGTCTTTTTATTAGGTTCTTATGTTTTCTATGTGTATTACTGATAAAGTTTAGGAATGTGTTCACCCAACCATATTTTTCCCCTGAGCCCTGTGATTTCTTTTGCATGATTTTGCATATGGTGTAAGAATGCTTATTTCATATTAGAGCAGAACTGACTGTCTTAAGTTAATTAAAATTAAGTAAGGCAAAAAAAGGTTAGAAATTTAGTTCCTCAATCATATGAGTCACATTTCAGGTGCTCGTGGCTAGTGGCTGCCATATTACATAAAACATAATACCAAAATAGAATGTTTCCATTAATACAGTAAGTTCTACTGGAAGTTCAAATAAAACAATGAGCTTACACATCCCTTATTAGGTTTGATGCTTTTCCATCATTCTGGATTCCTTATCTGCTGAGATCATGACCCAAGTATCTATAAGGATAATCTTCTTTTATCCTATTTTCCATTTTTTGAGAGCTTGTTTGGAGGTTCTAGCAGGGGAGCGCAGCTACTCTTATACCCTTGACCGAAGACCGGTCCTCTCCTCTTGGGGGAAAGTCGTCCTCTTCGACCAAGTGCGCAGCTTCGGGAGGAACGCACATGGATCGGTGAGGGAGGAGGGGGACACCCGCCTAGCCAGCCAGATCAGCCGAATCAATCCTGGCGATCAATGGGGTGACAGATGTCGCAGCCAGATCGCCCTCACATCCTGTTTTCCATTTTTTGAGGTGATACTGCAAAAAGTCTTTTTTTCTCAATTTTTTTTTCTTTTATTGTTTAAAATATTACAAAGAGTAGTACATATGTCTCCTTTTCCCCCCGAATTGACCTTCCCCTAGCTTCCTAGCACATGCCCAGTGTCTTTTGTCCATTGGTTGTGCTTATATGCATGCATACAAGTCCTTCGGTTGATCTCTTACTCAGCCGCCCCACAACCCTGCCCAGCCTTCCTGCTATCATTTGACAGACTGTTTGATGCTTCTCTGCCTCTATCTATTTTTCTTCATCAGTTTATAATGTTTATAATGTTCTTTATTATCCATAAATGAGTAAGATCATGTGGTATTTTTCTTTCACTGACTGGCTTATTTCACTTAGCATAATGCTCTCCAGTTCCATCCATGCTGTTGCAAATAGCAAGAATTCCTTCTTTTTTATTTTTTATTATTATTCTTTTTTACATTTGTGAAAATTGACTTTTTCTTTTTTTTTTTTTTTTTTAAAAAAATAAATCTTTATTGTTCATATTATTACAAATGTTCCTCATCCCCCCCCCCACATTGCTCCCCTCCACCAGGTTCCTACCCCAACCTCTGCCCTTTCCCTACCCCCCATTGTCCTCATCCATAGGTACACCGTTTATGTTCAGTCTCTTCCACACTCCCCTCTCCCCTTTTCCCTGAGAATCGTCAGTTCACTCCCCTTCCATACTTCTGATTCTATTATATTCACCAGTTAATATTGTTCATCACATTTTTTTTTTAATTCCTTTGGTTTTTAGATTCACTTGTTGATAGATACTTATTTGTTGTTCATAGTTTTTAATCTTTATTTACTTTCTCTTCCGAAAGAACCCCCTTCAGCAATTCATATAATTCTGGTTTGGTGGTGATGAACTCCTTTAGCTTATTATTATTATTATTATTATTATTATTTTTATTAGTGAAGCTCTTTATCTGGCTTTCGATTCTGAGTGATAGCTTTGCTGGGTAGATTATTTTTTGGCTGTAGGTTCCTGCTATTCATCACCTTGAATATTTCTTGCCATTCCATCTGGCCTGCATGGTTTCTGTTGAGAAATCAGCTGACAATCGTATGGGTGTTCCTTTATAGGTAACCACCTGCTTTTCTCTTGCTGCTTTTAATATTCTCTCTTTATCTTTTGCTCTTGGAATTTTAATTATGATGTGTCTTGGTGTGGTCTTCCTTGGATTCCTTGGTGTGGTCTTCCTTGGATTCCTTTGGGGTTCTGTGCGCTTCCTGGACTTGTAAGTCTAATTCTTTCACCAGGTGGGGGAAGTTTTCTGTCACTATTTCTTTCAGTATGTTTTCAATATCTTGCTCTCTCTCATCTTCTGGGACCCCCATAATTCTGATGTTGGTTCACTTGAAGTTGTCCCAGAGGTTTCTTACATTATCTTCAACTTCTGGATTCTCTTGTCTTAATTCCTTCTTTTTTATAGCAGTGTACTATTCCATTGTGTAGATGTACCACAGTTTTTTTTCTTTCTTTCCTTTTTCTTTCTTTTTAAAAAAATATATTTTATTGATTTTTTTTACAGAGAGGAAGGGAGAAAGATAGAGAGCTAGAAACGTTGATGAGAGAGAAACATCGACCAGCTGCCTCCTGCACACCCCCTACCGGGGATGTGCCTGCAACCAATGTATATGCCCTTGACTGGAATCAAACCCGGGACCTTTCAGTCCGCAGACCGATGCTCTACTGCTGAGCCAAACCGGTTTTGGCTGTACCACAGTTTTCTAATCCACTTATCTCCTGATGGGCATTTAGACTGTTTTCAAATCTTAGCTATGGTGAATTGTGCTCCTATGAACATAGGAATGCATATATCCTTTCTGATGGGTGTTTCTGTTTTCTTGGGATATATTCCTAGAAGTGGTTTTACTGGGTCAAATGGCAATTTCACTTTTAATTTTTTGAGGAAATGTCATACTGTTTTCCACAGGATTGCATCAGTCTGCATTCCTACCAGCAGTGATGAGGGTTCCTTTTTCTCCGCATCCTCTCCAGCACTCATCATTTGTTGATTTGTTGATGATAGCCATTCTGACAGGTGTGAGGTGGTACCTCATTGTTCTTTTGATTTGCATCTCTCAGATGATTAGTGACTTTGAGCATGTTTTCATATGTCTTTTGGCTTTCTGAATGTCCTCTTTCGAAAAGTGTCTATTTAGGTCATTTGCCCATTTTTTTGATTGGGTTGTTTATCTTCCTTTTGTTAAATTGTAAGAGTTCCCTGCAAATGTTGGAAATTAAACCCTTATTGGAGATAACATTGGAAATATGTTCTCCCATGCAGTGGGCATTCTTATTGTTTTGTTGATGGTTTATTTTCTCCTTACTTTCCATTGCCCTAGGAGCTTAAATATATTGCTACAACAAATGTTTGGTATTTTGCTGTCTATGGCTCCTTCTAAGATTTTTAGGGTGTCTCATCTTATGTTTAAGTCCTTTATCCATTTGAAGTTTTATTTTATTTATTTATTTTTAAAATATATTTTTTATTGATTTTATACAGAGAGGAAGGGAGAGGGATAGAAATATAGAAACATCGACGAGAGAGAAACATCGACCAGTTGCCTCCTGCACATCCCCCACTGAGGATGTGCTCAGAACAAATGTACATGCCCTTGACCAGAATCGAACCTGGGACCTTTCAGTCTGCCGACAACTCTCTGTCCACTGAGCCAAACCTGTTTTGGCTGGAGTTTTATTTTTGTGTATGGTGTAAGTTGGTGGTCTAGTTTCATTTTTTTTTGCAAGTATCTGTCCAGTTTTCCCAACACCATTTATTTATTTATTTTAAAAATTATTTTATTATTTATCTGTTTGTTTTCAGCACCTTTTTTTAAAAAAATCCTCACCTGAGGGTATTTTCCCATTGATTTTTTAGAGAGAGTGGAAGAGAGAGGGAAAGACAGAGAGAAACATTGATCAGCTGCCTCCCAAACTCTCTCTGGAGCCTGCAACCAAGGTACATGCTCCTGACTGGAATCAAACCCAGTACCATTCAGTTTGCTGGCCTATGCT